TTTAAAGCGAAATTCTTCTCGTCATAGACTCTCGAAATTTTCATGCCTGTCCAGTTCCGTATAGAAACGTAAACAAAGCAATTTTCTAAAGAACTAATATATTTTTATTTATTTATTTATTTATTTATTAATTCAACAGATTTTATCGCTTTAAAGATTATCTTTAGAAAATACCCATATTTGAATTTGTTTCTAACGGCTTATTAATCTTTTGCATGTTATCCAAAAAATTCCTCGTCCTGGGTAAGACGTTAAACTACGTCCAGCAGCAATGTCTCTGATTAGAAGGTTTTGAGGAGCGTGGAACCACCTCTTAATTGTTGGTGTTCTCAGGTCCACCCTGACCCCGTGTGGTAGCACCTGTTAGGGTCCCAGCTATGGGAAAATTTTTAACTATTACCAGCAATACATTTTTGAAAAAGATTACCAGCAATACAATTTTGAAGGAAATATATTACCAGAAACAGATTCTTGACAAAACAAAATATTACCAGCAATAAAAAAAAAATGTCGGCATTAAATAACCCATTGAGGTTGATATACTGTAAAACAAAATAATCCAAACCAAACCAAACCAAAGAATTCCAGAAAATATATTTAAATTCTAAGAATTTGGGACGAGGTAGATAATAATGATTTACTGACACAAGTTCTACTTTAATAAATTCGTCCATCGACCTAGGTCAATATTTCTGAGATGTGGTATTGTAATTATTTACGCTAATTACAGTGTTAGGACTGTTCTCCTCATCGTCGTTGTCATATTCAAGATGTTTCGACCGCTGTACGCTCCGGCCTTCTTCAGGATCACTCTATGTATCTGAGATGTGATATTTGAATTATTGAAAGCCAGTAAATTTATTTAGATTATAAGAATTTGTGGGGAGACAATAATGATTTAATGACACAAGGGATATTTTAATAAATACTTCCCTCGGCCTAGGACTATATTTCTGAGATGAGGTTTTGTAATTATTTACACTATTTACATTGTTCGGACTGTTACCCTCATCTTCGATGCAATATTCCCGACGCCACGGCCGTTGTACATACCGGCCTTCTTCAGGATCTGTCTATATTTCCGAGATGAGATATTGTAATTATTTACACTATTTACATTGTTCGGACTGCTTTTTTTTTTATTTTTATCTTAGTTGCCATATTCACTGCGCTACGGCTGCTGTACACTCCGACCATCTCCAGGAACTCTCTATATTTCTGAGATGTTATGTTTTAATTATTCAAAGCCAAAGAAATTTATTTAGATTCTAAGAATTTTGGAGGAGACAATAATGATTTAGTGACACAAGGGCTACTTTAATAAATTCTTCCCTCGACATATGTCTGTATTTCTCAAATGAGGTTTTATAATTATTTACAATATTTACATTGTTTGCACTGTTGGCCACATATTCGTTGTGATATTAACGACGTTACGACCATTAAACGCTTCGGACTTCTTCAGGATCTGTCTATATTTCCGAGATGAGATACTGTAATTATTTACACTATTTACATTGTTCGGATTATTGTACTCATTTTCGTTGCGATTTTCACGACGTTTTGACCGTTGTAAGCACTAGTCTTCTTCAAGTGATTGCAATTTCAAACTGAAATCTCTTATCTCGTCATTGAGGACACATAGCCCAGTGGATAAAAGAGTTGGTTGAATCCAGTGACTTGACCCAAAGGGTTGGGAGTTCAACACCTAGACACAGCAGAGCTGAACAAAAATTTGAAGAGTTGAGTTAAAGGTAGATAACATATACTGTGACATCCGGAAGAGGCATGCACGTTGAACAAGAACAATTTTTTCCTGTGGACGAATGAAAGGGTTCAGTTTGAAAGAAGGTCGGGACATACAACGGGCGAAAACGTCGTGAATATGGTAACGACCTCCAGTATTTTTGCAGGGGCGTTATTGAGCTTGTCCTACCGACGAATTGCAAACGCATAATTGAAGCACTGTGTCTTCTGCTTATACTTTTCTTAAGTGGGAAAATTAATGACTGCAAAACGACTAAGTTTACATCAGTAGCTCTAGACTACCAAACAGAATATAAATAAAGCTCCCCAAAATACATCGATGGGACACCTTGAGATTTAAAGAAAACTGTGTATAAACATAAGAGAAGTCTAAAAAGAAATAAAATAGAAGACATCATTTTACACCTTCCTTTCATTTTTTTTAATTATTTATAATTCTTTACTGTGTTTTATTTTTCCGAATATCTATTCTTGGCATCCATTGCTCATTTACATGCTTTCTGACATTTCATTCCTTAAATCTATTCTTTCTCGTTTTTCCTTACCTTCTCTATCCTTAATTTTCTCCTTCCTCTCTATCCTTTCTTTTCTCCTTCCTCTCTATCCTTTCTTTTATCCTTCCTCTTTATCCTTTCTTTTCTCCTTCCTCTCTATCTTTTCTCCTTCCTCTCTAACCTTTATTTTATCCTTCCTCTCTATCCTTTCTATTATCCTTCCTCTCTAACTTTTCTCCTCAGTCTCTATCTTTTCTTTTCTCCTTCCTTTCTATCTTTTCTCTTCCATCTCCATCCTTTGTTTATCCTTCCTCTCTATCTTTCCTCCTTCCTTTCTGTCCTTTCTGTTATCCTTCCTCTCTATCTTTTCCCTCCCAATCTATCCTTTCTTTTATACTTCCTCTCCATTTTTTCTCCTTCCTCTCTATCCTTACATTTTTCTATCTTCGCTATCCTTTCTTTTATCCTTCCTCTCTATAATTTCTTATATCATTATTCTCTATCTTTTCTCCTTCCTCTCTACCCTTTCTTTATCCTTCCTCTCAATCCTTTCTTTTATCCTTCCTCTCTAACTTTTCTCCTCCGTCTCTATCTGTTCTTTTCCTTCCTTTCTATCTTTTCTCTTCCCTCTCCATCCTTTGTTTATCCTTCCTCTCTATCTTTCCTCCTTCCTTTCTATCCTTTCTGTTATCCTTCCTCTCTATCTTTTCCCTCCCAATCTATCCTTTCTATTATACTTCCTCTCCATATTTTCCTTCTCTCAATCCTTTCTATCCTTTATCCTTTCTTTTATCCTTCCTCTCTATAATTTCTTATATCATTATTCTCTATCTTTTCTCCTTCCTTTATATCCTTTCTGTTATCCTTCCTCTCTATCTTTTCTCCTCCCTCTCTATCCTTTCTATTATACTTCCTCTCTATCCTTTCTTTTCTATTTCCATTCTATCGTTTCTTTTCTCCTTCATATCTACCTTTTCTTTTATTCCTCCCCACTATATTTTCTCCTTCCTCTGTATCCTTTCTTTTCTCCTCCCTCTCTATCATTACTTTTCTCCTTCCTCCATATCTTTTCTCCTTCCTCTGTATCCTTAATTTTCTCCTTCCACTCTATGCTTTCTTTTATCCCTCCTCTCTATCTTTTCTCCTCCCACTCTATCCTTTATTCTAACCTTCCTCTCTATCTTTTCTCCTCCCTCTCCATCCTTTATATTAACCTTCCTCTCTATCTTTTCTCCTCCCTCTCTATCCTTTATATCCTTCCTCTCTATCTTTTCTCCTCCCTCTCCATCCTTTATATTAACCTTCCCGTCTATCTTTCTCCTTCCTATCTATTCTTACTTTTCTCCTTCCTTGCTATCCTTTCTTTAATCCTTCCTCACTGTCTTTTCTCCTCCCCCTTAGTCTTTTCTTTAATCCTTACACTATATCTTTTCTCCTCCCTCTCTATCCTTTATACTAACTTTCCTCTCTATCTTTTCTCCTTCCTCTCTATACTTTATATTAACCTTCCTCTCTATCTTTTCTCCTCTCTATTGCTTTATATTAACCTTCCTTTCTATCTTTTTCCCTTCCTCTCTATCCTTCCTAACCTTCTCTCTTCTTTCTCCTCCCTCTCTATCCTTTCTTTACCTTCCCTCTCTATCTTTTCTCCTCCCTCTCTATCCTTTATATTAACCTTCCTCTCTATCTTTTCTCCTCCCTCTCTATACTTTATATTAACCTTCCTCTCTATCTTTTCTCCTCCCTCTCTATCCTTTATATTAACCTTCCTCTCTATCTTTTCTCCTCCCTCTCTATCCTTTATATTAACCTTCCTCTCTATCTTTTCTCTCCTCTCTATCCTTTATATTAACCTTCCTCTCTATCTTTTCTCCTCCCTCTCTATACTTTATATTAACCTTCCTCTATCTTTTCTCCTCCCTCTCTCTCCTTTATATTAACATTCCTCTCTATCTTTTCTCCTCCTCTCTATCCTTTATATTAACCTTCCTCTCTATCTTTTCTCCTCCCTCTCTATCCTTTATAACCTTCCTCTCTATCTTTTCTCCTCCCTCTCTATCCTTTATATCTTCTTCCTCTCTATCTTTTCTCCTCCCTCTCTATCCTTTATACTAACCTTCCTCTCTCTTTTCTCCTCCCCTCTCTATCCTTTATATTAACCTTCCTCTCTATCTTTTTCTCCTCCCTCTCTATACTTTATACTAACCTTCCTCTCTAACTTTTCTCCTCCCTCTCTATCCTTTATATTAACCTTCCTCTCTATCTTTTCTCCTCCCTCTCTATCCTTTATATTAACCTTCCTCTCTATCTTTTCTCCTCCCTCTCTATCCTTTATATTAACCTTCCTCTCTATCTTTTCTCCTTACTATCTATCCTTACTTTTCTCCTCCCTCTCTATCCTTTATATTAACCTTCCTCTCTGTCTTTTCTCCTCCCCCTTAGTCTTTTCTTTAATCAGTCCACTCTCTATTTTCTTCTCCCTCTCTATCCTTTCTTTTATACTTCCTCTCTATTTTCTCCTCCCTCTCTATACTTTCTTTTCATCTTCCTCTCTATCCATTCTTTCTCTTTCCTCTCTATTCTTTCTTTTCTTGGCTTTCTAAAATTTCTTTTTTCTTCATGTTTTTTTCCTACGCACCTTTCCTTTTCATTCTTTTTTACATACTTTTCTATTTCTTTCTATTTCACGTTTAACTTTTGTTCCTTTCCTTTTCTTATTTTTTTTTCCGTTTTCACTTTATGGTTCCCTTCTTTTCCTTCTTTCTAATTTTACTTTTCTCCGTTCTTCTTAGCGTCACATTCTTCTCTCTTTATAAGATTTCTTCTTTTCTTTCCTTCTGCCTTTGCATCCTTCATTTTGTCTTTGACCTTTGTTCTTTACTTTTTTCCTTCCTTCTCATTTTTTATCGTTTTACAATAGGCTTCTTATTTTGAGCTTCATTTTACACCTTCCTTCCCTTGTTTTTAATTATTTATGGTTCTTTACTATGGTCTTTTACTTTACGAATTTTTATTCTCGGCATTAATTACCTGCTTTCTTTCCTTTCGTTTCTTAAATCTTTTTTTTTCTCGTGTTTCCTGGCCTTCTCTCTTTCCCAAATCTATTTTACTTCTTCTTTCCTTTTCTTTTCTTATGGCTTCAGATTTCTACCCTCTTTTCTATTTTACCACTCTCCTTTTTTTTACCACCACTTCTTATTTTACTCTCTCTATTTTCTTATTCTGTTTTTATTCATCCTGGGATATTTTTCTCTTTCATTCTCCGCTTTCGTCCTATCTTTTCTCATCGAAATTTTATTTCCTTAATTGTTTCCTTTAATCTTTCCTTCTCTAGCTCTTGCTTTTAATCATTTAACCACACGCAAAGCCTATAATGTCACTAATAACTAAAGGAAGAAGCCACTGGGACTGAAAGAAGATAAGAAGACATCAGAAAGAAAGAAATGTACAGAATTAAATGCGACAAAAGATGGCGCTTGACGTTGCATTTAAATTTTTGAAGATCGTAGGGATCAGTGAAGCAACAAACCGGAAGTGAGCAGCACAGGTGAGAAATGGGAGAAAAGAAACTATTGGAACATATCCTTTTGTTACACCTGGCTATTTCAACAGTGAAATGATCAGAACTTGTGGCCAATCTAGTCAGTTAAATGCCGTATGTGATAACCGCTTGAGCGATCATGTATATTTCGATATATGACTGACGACGCAGATCTTTTTTCCCGCAATATGCTGCCATTTCTTTCTGCGGTAGAACAATCGCCATCCAAGGCTATAGAACCCAGTCTGTCCTGCTATTCAATCCATAGCAAGGAGGAAAAAAGATGAACTCATAACTCTCCCAAGTGTGTTTGTGCGTAACTAAATCTAAGGAACTCGACTGGAATTCGACCTCCGAGCCGATATCCATTACACCACAACACACACCGTCCTGGATATGAAGATAAACTACATCCGCGTCGTTGATAAGATGATAAACTACGTCCAACAACAACAAGGCCTCTGATCGAGAGGTTTTGAGCAGCGTGGAACCATCTCTCAATTGCTGGTATTCCCAAGTCTATCCTGACCCGGGGTGTCAGCACCTGTTAGGGTCCCAGCTATTGGCAAATAGTTAACCCCAAACTAGGGTCAAAAGTGTAAAAATAGGTTTTAAATACCAGCAATTTGTAAAAAAAAAATATTGCCAGTAATGATTTTTTTGAGAAAAAAGTATTACCAGCCAAACATTTTTGAAAAAAAAAAATATTGCCAGCAATACATTTTTTTTAAAAAAGAATAATGCCGGCAATACAAATATTGTCGGCATTAAATAACCTATTGAGGTTGATATCCCGTAAAACAAAACAAAACGAACCAAACCATAACGCACAGCCTAGTAGTACGCTTAAGTTCATGTAGTCTAAGTATGAAAATGCAGAACGTAATGGAACATCTACTATAAAAATATTTATAGAAAATCAGAGACTGGTAACGTCAATGAGATGGTAAAGTGACTGAGATCGAGATGCCAGGTCCAGGCCACTAATATTACAGACCATTCTTTGGAGATGGCTAAGAATATGTAGAAATATAGCATGAGCACTAGACCAGATACGGGAATGGTTTTTATTTGTTTTTTTTTGTTTGTTTTTTTTTGTTTTACTTTTCTAGTCATTCCCATTCTCTTTTTCTTTCGTAGCTAAGTTCATTCTCTGCGTTTTACTCCTTCCTCTCTATCATTCCTTTTCTCCTTCCTCTCTAGCTTTTTCTTCCCTTCTATTATATCCTTTCTTTGCTCCTTCCCCTCTATCTTTTTCTTCCTCTCTATCCTTTCTTATCTCCTTCCTCGCTCTCCATTCTTTTCTTCTTCCTCTTTATACTTTCTTTTCTCCTTCTCTCTATCCTTCCTTTTCTCTTTCCTCTCTAATTTTTTTTTTTGTCCTTCCTCTCTATCCTTTCTTGTATATTCCTCTCTATTCTTTCTTTCTCCTTTCTATCTATCTATCTATCTATCTATCTATCTATCTATATATATATATATATATATATATATATATATATATATTTTTCTCTTTCATTTCTATTATTTCTTTTAACATTCCTCTCTATCCTTTTCTATCCTTCCTCTCTATCCTTTATTTTCTCCTATCTCTCTATCTTTTTTCTTCTCTTTCTCTCTCTATACTTTCTTTTCTTCTTCCTTTTTATCTTTTCCTCCTCACTCTCAATCGTTTCTTTTCTCTCAATCCTATTTTTCTCTATACTTTCTTTTCTCCATACATTGTATCATTTTTCCCCTTCCTCTCAATCCTTTCTTTTATTCTCAATCCTTTCTCTTCTCTTTCCTCTCCATCCTTTCTTTTATCCAACCTCTTTATCCTTTCTTTTATCCTTCCTCTCTATCATGTCTATTGTTCTTCCTGTCTTTCCTTTCTTTTTTCTTCCTCTCTATCATTTCTTTCTCTTTCCTCTCTTTCCTTTCTTTTCATCTTCCTCTCTATCCTTTCTTTTCTTCTTCCTCTCTATCATTTCTTCTCTTCTTCCTCTCTATCATTTCTTCTCTTCTTCCTATCTATCCATTCTTTTCTTCTTCCTCTCTATCATTTCTCCTCTTCTTCCTCTCTATCCTTTCTCTTCTTCTTCCTCTCTATCCTTTCTTTTCTTTTCCTCTCTATCATTTCTCTTCTTCCTCTCTATCCTTTTTTTTTCTTCTTCCTCTCTATCATTTCTTCTCTTCTTCCTCTCTATCCTTTCTTTTCTTCTTTAAGTCTCTATCATTTCTTCTTCTTCCTCTCTATCCTTTCTTTTTCTTCTTCCTCTCTATCATTTCTTCTCTTCTTCTTCTCTATCCTTTCTTTTCTTCTTCCTCTCTATCCTTTCTTTTCTTCTTCGCCTCTATCATTTCTTCTCTTCTTCCTCTCTATCATTTCTTCTCTTCTTCCTCTCTATCCTTTCTCTTCTTCTTCCCTCTCTATCATTTCTCTCTTCTTCCTCTCTATCTTTTCTCTTCTTCTTCCTCTCTATCCTTTCTTTTCTTCTTCCTCTCTATCATTTCTTCTCTTCTTCTTCTCTATCCTTTCTTTTCTTCTTCCTCTCTATCATTTCTTCTCTTCTTCCTCTCTATCATTTCTTCTCTTCTACTTCTCTATCCTTTCTCTTCTTCTTCCTCTCTATCATTTCTCCTCTTCTTCCTCTCTATCCTTTCTCTTCTTCTTCCTCTCTATCATTTCTTCTCTTCTTCCTCTCTATCCTTTCTTTTTCTTCTTCCTTTCTATCTCATTTTTCTTCTCTTCTTCCTATCTATCCTTTCTTTTCTTCTTCCTCTCTATCATTTCTCCTCTTCTTTCTCTCTATCCTTTCTCTTCTTCTTCCTCTCTATCCTTTCTCTTCTTCTTCCTCTCTATCATTTCTCCTCTTCTTCCTCTCTATCCTTTTCTTTTCTTCTTCCTCTCTATCATTTCTTCTCTTCTTCTTCTCTATCCTTTCTTTTCTTCTTCCTCTCTATCATTTCTTTTCTTCTTCTTCTCTATCATTTCTTCTCTTCTTCTTCTCTATCCTTTCTTTCTTCTTCCTCTCTATCCTTTCTTTTCTTCTTCCTCTCTATCATTTCTCCTCTTCTTCTCTCTATCCTTTCTTTTCTTCTTCCTCTATCATTTCTTCTCTTCTTCCTCTCTATCCTTTGTTTTCTTCTTCCTCTCTGTCCTTTCTTTTATTCTTCCTCTCTATCCTTTTCTTTTCTTCTTCTTCTCTATCATTTCTTCTCTTCTTCTTCTCTATCCTTTCTTTTCTTCTTCCTCTCTATACTTTCTTTTCTTCTTCCTCTCTATCATTTCTCTCTTCTTCCTCTCTATCCTTTTCTTTTCTTCTTCCTCTCTCCCTTTCTTTTCTTCTTCCCTCTCTATCATTTCTCTCTTCTTCTCTATCATTTCTTTTCATCTTCCTCTGTATCATTTCTTTTATTCTTCCTCTCTATCATTTCTTCTCTTCTTCTTCTCTAACCTTTCTTTTCTTCTTCCTTTCTATCCTTTCTTTTCTTCTTCCTCTCTATCATTTCTCCTCTTCTTCCTCTCTATCCTTTTCTTTTCTTCTTCCTCTCTATCCTTTATTTTCTTCTTCCTCTCTATCATTTCTCCTCTTCTTCTTCTCTATCCATTCTTTTCTTCTTCCTCTGTATCCTTGCTTTTCTTCTTCCTCTCTATCATTTCTCCTCTTCTTCCTCTCTTTCCTTTCTTTTCTTCTTTCTCTCTATCATTTCTTCTCTTCTTCCTCTCTATCATTTCTTCTTCTTCTTCTTCTATCCTTTCTCTTCTTCTTCCTCTCTATCATTTCTCCTCTTCTTCCTCTCTATCATTTCTCTTCTTCTTCCTCTCTATCATTTCTTCTCTTCTTCCTCTCTATCCTTTCTTTTCTTCTTCCTCTCTATCATTTCTTCTCTTCTTCCACTCTATCCTTTCTTTTCTTCTTCCTCTCTATCATTTCTCCTCTTCTTCCTCTCTATCCTTTCTCTTCTTCTTCCTCTCTATCCTTTCTCTTCTTCTTCCTCTCTATCATTTCTTCTCTTCTTCCTCTCTATCCTTTCTTTTCTTCTTCCTCTCTATCATTTCTTCTCTTCTTCCTCTCTATCCTTTCTTTTCTTCTTCATCTCTGTCATTTCTTTTCTTCTTCCTCTCTATCCTTTCTTTTCTTCTTCTTCTCTATCATTTCTTCTCTTCTTCTTCTCTATCCTTTCTTTTCTTCTTCCTCTCTATACTTTCTTTTCTTCTTCCTCTCTATCAATTCTCCTCTTCTTCCTCTCTATCCTTTTCTTTCTTCTTCCTCTCTATCCTTTCTTTTCTTCTTCCTCTCTATCATTTCTTCTCATCTTCCTTCTATCATTTCTTCTCTTCTTCTTCTCTATCCTTTCTTTTCTTCTTCCTCTCTATCCTTTCTTTTCTTCTTCCTCTCTATCATTTCTCCTCTTCTTCCTCTCTATCCTTTTCTTTTCTTCTTCCTCTCTATCATTTCTTCTCTTCTTCCTCTCTATCCTTTCTTTTCTTCTTCATCTCTGTCATTTCTTTTCTTCTTCCTCTCTATCCTTTCTTTTCTTCTTCCTCTCTATCATTTCTTCTCTTCTTCTTCTCTATCCTTTCTTTTCTTCTTCCTCTCTATCCTTGCTTTTCTTCGTCCTCTCTATCATTTCTCCTCTTCTTCCTCTCTTTCCTTTCTTTTCTTCTTCCTCTCTATCCTTTATTTTCTTCTTCCTCTCTATCATTTCTTCTCTTCTTCTTCTCTATCCTTTCTTTTCTTCTTCCTCTCTATCCTTTCTTTTCTTCTTCCACTCTATCATTTCTCCTCTTCTTCCTCTCTATCCTTGCTTTTCTTCTTCCTCTCTATCATTTCTCCTCTTCTTCTTCTCTATCCATTCTTTTCTTCTTCCTCTGTATCCTTTCTTTTCTTCTTCCTCTCTATCCTTTCTTTTCTTCTTCCTCTCTATCATTTCTCCTCTTCTTCCTCTCTATCCTTTTCTTTTCTTCTTCCTCTCCATCATTTCTTCTCTTCTTCCTCTCTATCCTTTCTTTTCTTCTTCCTCTCTATCATTTCTTTTCTTCTTCCTCTCTATCCTTTCTTTTCTTCTTCCTCTCTATCATTTCTCCTCTTCTTCCTCTCTATCCTTTTCTTTTCTTCTTCCTCTCTAACATTTCTCCTCTTCTTCCTCTCTATCCTTTCTTTTCTTCTTCTTCTCTATCATTTCTTCTCTTCTTCTTCTCTATCCTTTCTTTTCTTCTTCCTCTCTATCCTTTCTTTTCTTCTTCCTCTCTATCCTTTCTCCTCTTCTTCCTCTCTATCCTTTTCTTTTCTTCTTCCTCTCTATCATTTCTTCTCTTCTTCCTCTCTATCCTTTCTTTTCTTCTTCCTCTCTGTCATTTCTTTTCTTCTTCCTCTCTATCCTTTCTTTTCTTCTTCTTCTTTATCATTTCTTCTCTTCTTCTTCTCTATACTTTCTTTTCTTCTTCCTCTCTATACTTTCTTTTCTTCTTCCTCTCTATCATTTCTCCTCTTCTTCCTCTCTATCCTTTTCTTTTTTTCTTCCTCTCTATCCTTTCTTTTCTTCTTCCTCTCTATCATTTCTCTTCTTCTTCTTCTCTATCCTTTCTTTTCTTCTTCCTCTCTATCCTTGCTTTTCTTCTTCCTCTCTATCATTTCTCCTCTTCTTCTTCTCTATCCATTCTTTTCTTCTTCCTCTGTATCCTTTCTTTTCTTCTTCCTCTCTATCCTTTCTTTTCTTCTTCCTCTCTATCATTTCTCCTCTTCTTCCTCTCTATCCTTTTCTTTTCTTCTTCCTCTCTATCCTTTCTTTTCTTCTTCCTCTCTATCATTTCTTCTCTTCTTCCTCTCTTTTCCTTTCTTTCTTCTTCCTCTCTTTCATTTCTTCTCTTCTTCTTCTCTATCCTTTCTTTTCTTCTTCTCTATCCTTTCTTTTCTTCTTCCTCTCTATCATTTCTCTTTCTTCCTCTCTCATCCTTTTCTTTTCTTCTTCTTCTCTATCATTTCTTTCTTCTTCTTCTCTATCCTTTCTTTTCTTCTTCCTCTCTATCCTTTCTTTTCTTCTTCCTCTCTATCATTTCTCCTCTTCTTCCTCTCTATCCTTTTCTTTTCTTCTTCCTCTCTATCCTTTCTTTTCTTCTTCCTCTCTATCATTTCTCCTCTTCTTCCTCTCTTTCCTTTCTTTTCTTCTTCTTCTCTATCCTTTCTTTTCTTCTTCTTCTCTATCCTTTCTTTTCTTCTTCCTCTCTATCATTTCTTTTCTCCTTCCTCTCTATCATTTCTTTTTCCTTCCTCTCTATCCTTTCTCTTACCTCCCTCTATTTTCTTCTCTGTCCTTCCTTTCTTTTACCCTTACTTTTAATCCATTTCTCTCCTTCCTCTCAATTCTTTCTTTCCTCCTCTCTATCTATCGTTTCTCTTCTCCCTCTCCAACCATTTTCTCCTTCTTCTCCATCCTTTCTTTTATCCTTCCTCTCTATCCTTTCTTTTCTATTTCCATTCTATCGTTTCCTTTCTCCTTCCTTTCTTTTATTCCTTCTCTCTATATTTTCTCCTTCCTCTGTATACTTTATTTTCTCCTTCCTCTCTATCGTTTCTTCTTCCTCTCTATCTTTTCTCTTCCCTCTCTGTCCTTTCTTTTCTCCTTCCTCTCTATCCTTTCTTTCATCCTTCCGCTCTATCCTTTCTTTTATCCTTCCTCTCTAAATTTTGTTTTCGTCTTCCTGTCTATCCTTTCTTTTCTTCTTCCTCTCTATCCTTTATTTTCTTCTTCCTTTCTATCATTTCTTCTCTTCTTCTTCTCTATCCTTTCTTTTCTTCTTCCTCTCTATCCTTTCTTTTCTTCTTCCTCTCTATCATTTCTCCTCTTCTTCCTCTCTATCCTTTTCTTTTTTCTTCTTCTCCATCATTTTCTTCTTTCTTCCTCTCTCCTTTTCTTTTCTTCTTCCTCTCTATCATTTCTTTTCTTCTTCCTCTCTATCCTTTCTTTTCTTCTTCCTCTCTATCATTTCTCCTCTTCTTCCTCTCTATCCTTTTCTTTTCTTCTTCCTCTCTAACATTTCTCCTCTTCTTCCTCTCTATCCTTTCTTTTCTTCTTCTTCTCTATCATTTCTTCTCTTCTTCTTCTCTATCCTTTCTTTTCTTCTTCCTCTCTATCCTTTCTTTTCTTTTTCCTCTCTATCCTTTCTTTTCTTCTTCCTCTCTATCATTTCTCCTCTTCTTCCTCTCTATCCTTTTCTTTTCTTCTTCCTCTCTATCATTTCTTCTCTTCTTCCTCTCTATCCTTTCTTTTCTTCTTCCTCTCTGTCATTTCTTTTCTTCTTCCTCTCTATCCTTTCTTTTCTTCTTCTTCTCTATCATTTCTTCTTTTCTTCTTCTCTATCCTTTCTTTTCTTCTTCCTCTCTATCCTTTCTTTTCTTCTTCCTCTCTATCATTTCTCCTCTTCTTCCTCTCTATCCTTTTCTTTTCTTCTTCCTCTCTTTCCTTTCTTTTCTTCTTCCTCTCTATCATTTCTCCTCTTCTTCTTCTCTATCCTTTCTTTTCTTCTTCCTCTCTATCCTTTCTTTTCTTCTTCCTCTCTATCATTTCTTCTCTTCTTCCTCTCTTTCCTTTCTTTTCTTCTTCCTCTCTATCATTTCTTCTCTTCTTCTTCTCTATCCTTTCTTTTCTTCTTCCTCTCTATCCTTTCTTTTCTTCTTCCTCTCTATCATTTCTCCTCTTCTTCCTCTCTTTCCTTTCTTTTCTTCTTCTTCTCTATCCTTTCTTTTCTTCTTCCTCTCTATCATTTCTTTTCTCCTTCCTCTCTATCATTTCTTTTTCCTTCCTCTCTATCCTTTCTCTTACCTCTCTCTATTTTCTTCTCTGTCGCTATACTTTCTTTTACCCTTACTTTTTATCCATTTCTCTCCTTCCTCTCAATTCTTTCTTTCCTCCTCTCTATCTATCGTTTCTCTTCTCCCTCTCCAACCATTTTCTCCTTCTTCTCCATCCTTTCTTTTATCCTTCCTCTCTATCCTTTCTTTTCTATTTCCATTCTATCGTTTCCTTTCTCCTTCCTTTCTTTTATTCCTCCTCTCTATATTTTCTCCTTCCTCTGTATACTTTATTTTCTCCTTCCTCTCTATCGTTTCTTCTTCCTCTCTATCTTTTCTCTTCCCTCTCTCTCCTTTCTTTTCTCCTTCCTCTCTATCCTTTCTTTCATCCTTCCGCTCTATCCTTTCTTTTATCCTTCCTCTCTAAATTTTGTTTTCGTCTTCCTGTCTATCCTTTCTTTTTCCTTTCTCTCTATCCTTTCTCTTCCTGGCTTTCTAATTTTCCTTTGTTCTTAATTTTTTTCCTACGCCCCTTTCCTTTTCAATCTTCCGTTTACCTGCTTTCTTTCCTTTCATTTCTTAAATCTTTTTTTTCCTCGTTTTTCCTTCCCTTCTCTCCTTCCCAAATCCATTTTACTTCATCTTTCCTTTTCATTTGTTATTCTTCTTTTGAGATTTCTTTACTTTCATATCCTTCTCTTAGAAGAATTTCGCAATCGTTCATTTCTTTCTTTCCTTCATCTGCTGCGCTTCGTTGTCTTTCTTTCGCCTTCATTTTGTTAATTTTTTTCTTCCTTTTTCCTTCCTTCTAAACTTTGTTTTTCATTCGTCTTTACATTTACATTCTTCCCTTATATGAATTTTTCTTCCTTTTTCTGTCAGATATTTTCCTTCCTGTCTGATCTTTTTTTTTGTCAGATATTTTCCTTCCTGTCTGATCTTTTTTTTTTGTCAGATATTTTCCTTCCTGTCTGATCTTTATTTATTTAATCCATTTTCTTCTTATTTTTCCTTCTTCATTTTTTTTTCTTTTCATCCTTCCTTATTCCTCCCCTCTTCACTTTTTCTTTCATTTCTTTTTCCTTCATATCATTTCCTTTCCTTGTTTTCTTCATTCTCTGCGTATCAGACTTCTTCCTTTTCTCTACCTTACTTTCTTTAATTTTTCCTTTCTCTTCTAGTTTACCTCTCTTTGCTTGATCTTCTTTTTCTCCTTTCTTACTACTATTTTTATTTTCTTAATTATGTTTTTCCATCCTTTCCTTCTCGCCTGCCTCATTAACATAATTAAAGGAAGAATAGTTTCAAGCCTTCTTCTCCACATTTACGTTCTCTACTTGCTAAATTTTCTTCCATCATGCCTTGCTTTGTTCGTTCGTTCCTTCGTTCCTTGCTTCCTTCCTTCCTTCTTTACTTACTTATTCATTTTCTTTATCTTCCTCCATCCGTACTTGTCTTTCTCTCTTTTCGGCATACTACGGATCTCTTACTTTCTTACCATTTTCCTTTCTTTTCCCACTCTTCATCCTTGCCTCTGCATCATTTTTTCCCCTCCTTCCTTTAAGAATTTCCTATCCCGTCCTGTCAAGCCCTCTCCACCATTTTTAACTTTATTCGTTGCCAACCCTCTCTCTTCCTTCCTTTGTTCCCATCTTTCCTTCCTTCTGAATTCATCAATTCCTTCTCTCACCAAACTTAATTTCCTTTGTTCAGTCTCTAATCAAATTCATCTTCCGCGTAACACAAACTCCAATGCAAAAGAATTCGCATCTTAGCGAAAAACTAATCAAAACGTTTTCTCTTCGCACCAGACGGACGTATTTACCTCGCAGCCAAATTATTGCATTCATTGTCAATAACAATTGTCATCAACGCAGTCTATTAATACAGCTATCCGAATTGTCATTGCAATAATTACCTGGCAAAGTTATTTATATTGTATTGCTTTTGCCATGGCAATCTCGATCAAAATTTTCATTGGTCTATTTACCTTTAACTCTTGTATTACTGTTAAATTTAAAAGCAACTTTCGTTATGTCAAGGACGGTTCTTTATAAATTAATAATATTTTCATACACCGCTACGTTTGTTTGCTAAATATATTCTGCTACACTGGCAATTATTCTTGTATGTACCGTATACCCTAAGGAGGCGAGCCACCATGACTTTACACGACATCATATGTTTTTTTTATCTCTAAGCCATGTTTATCTCCTTAATCTCTGGTCTGCCACCCATTTCCACAGGCTCGTTAGGTAAGCTTATGCGCTGTTTTTTTTTTCTCTTCTATTTACGTCTTTAATACGACTTGTGTGTATTAAATTCTCGAAGCTCTCTTTTTGATTCGAAGTGTAAGCGTTCGTTTTTTTTGTTGTTGTTTCCAATTCTTCAAAGCTTCCTGCTTACTAACATTTCAGTCCATTCTTATATTCTCGGAATTTTTCTATAGACTCACCTTTCCGTCGTCGCCTCTCTCCTAATCTGTGATGAAATTGTCAAACGGATCCATACATTTACATTGCACCGGTGTTGAGCCCACGTCTCTTTTTTCAATGTTCGACAACTTTCAGTCCTTTTCTTTTTTCTTTAATATAAATAATGGTTGTGGCCATATTACGATGTCTGATCAAAAAGTATCGAGGCTAGTACTATAACGAGGAAACTATAACACATATTAATTCAGTATTTAATCTCCTGCGAAGTAGCCCACTTCTAATATCACGTACGTCATCCAGAATCGTTTCCATTAATCCAAAAAATTCTTAAGAGACACTTTTGGGGTCACAAGTAGCTGAATCGTAGTATTCACTTGACTGTGCTCGATGGCTTGAAATTTTGTTCCTTTAACGTGAGATTTGAGTTTTGAAGAGGAAGTATCCGTGTTCATTTTATTTCAAATTCCCGTACAACTTCCTCGTTGCTTACATGTACCGTTTATGATATTCTCAGCATCCTTCAACATAACGGCGTCTATGTTGCTTCAGTACTATTTTTCATAGGTGAAGCCTCCAAAACTATAATGGAAGGACTGATATCCCATAATCGTTCGGAACTTCGCTTTGTTTCTAAAGATATTTGCCGGTAGGGTCACATATCTGTTGTCTCAGCTCTCCTCTTCATCTTTGAAGAAATTGTCTCACATACACAGCTATGTCGGTATATTGATATTACATAATATTTCAGAACCATTTCTTTGTTTCTAAAGATATTTGCCTGTAGGGTCACATCTCTGTTGCCTCAGCTCTCCTCTTCATCTTTGAAGAAATTGTCAACCATTCACTACTATGTAGGCATATTGATATTACATAATAGTTTAGCACCTTTTACTTTGCTTCTAAAGACATTTGCCAGTAGGGTCATTTGCCAGTAGGGTCATTTGCCTATAGTTGCCTCAGCTCGTCTCTTCATCTTGGAGGAAATGGTTCCGTATACACTGACGTGTAGGAGGATTGATATTGCATAGATGATCAATAGTATTTGTTTCTACTAAGATGTTCCCGTTTCTTAAGAATTTTAATAATTATGTATAATCGAGTCGTCTGGGATATTCTGTTTGTTTCTCCGTTATTAATACTGTATAAAAATCGCATCAAATTGCATAAACTGGATGAAATCGCACCAAACTGCCTGATTCATTTTCCTTGTATATTATCGTCCAAGTTAATGTATTGAATATCATTTCTACCTGATACACTTTAAACAAAGGCTGACTTTAAATAGGAAAGCATGCTAATAAACATACACACTATATGCCAGTTATGTTTAGCCAATTTACACTAATCGATATATCATTATGAATACTTTACATTTTCAACATACATCTCATCAATTGAGAAGATCTGGGATGACAGAAAAACTAGGATTGCTTGCATAGAAACTGTTTCTTTTTATATTATTAATGTTTAAGTTTTCTTTTTCTTAAACGTGTTTTATTTACTTTCATTTGCTTTATATTTCGATCCAATTCCCTACGTTGCAATGAAAGGTTGAATGTAAATTTTTCGATATCTGGCTACTTACATAAACAATGAGAGACCCAGCTTAATTATGCCCTGAGCATATACAAACACACATACGAAGAGATGAGGGCTTATTATTTAACAATTCTATGCCAAACGAATCTGTTCATAGAAAACAAATTTGCACTATGTACATCGTTCGGACTGTTGTCCTCGTCTTTATAACCGTATTCACAACCTTTCAGCCGTTGTACGCTCCGGTCTTCCTCAGGTGATATAGTTTGGTATTTTGAACCAAACTCTTTATTTAGTCAACTGGGATAGATTTTTTTTTTTTTTTTTTTGCAAGTGCCATGTCTTTGGATATCTCCGTTTCAGTTAATTTCCCTTGGTTACTCAAATCTCCAATATTTTGTTCCATTTCTGTGATCAGGTATTGAACTCACAACTCAGTGGTTCAAATCACTTTTGGATGACCCAGTCCACCTTTTTTATCCAGTAGACCATGTGGACTAAATTAAGTGTTCGACCTGAAACCCGAAAGAAGAAGGCCGGAGCAGACAATGACCGAAACGTCGTAAATATGGCAGTGAAACTTTCGACCAATGTAAATAGCGTAAACAGTTACAATACCTTATCGCAGAAATATAGGCAGAATAAAAAACAGCGTTCCCTCTCGTGGATTATATACTGATGACATTCATAGTTCAAACAAGAAGATTATTGAACAAAAATATCAACATCCTCTTCCATGTGCTCCAAGAAAGAGGACTGTATATAAACGTTTCTGTTATATAGGAATAGTGTTGCTGCCGACATTGAGTTTGAACATTGATCGCCGGTGAGCAAACACGGGCGATCCCATTATTGAATAAAGTGACCAAAGAAGAAACGCATATATAGGAGGGAGCTTGTGTCTAATTGAGATTCTTTCTAGCCTATTCTCTCTTACGATACGGATCGTCATTCTAGCCTATCCTCTATTACTATTCAAATCTCTATTTCTAGCCTATCCTCTATTACTATACGGACCGCTATTCTCTACTCTATTCACTATACTATTTCTCTATTCAGATCACTATACGGGTTACTATTTGAGCGAGTATTACCGAGCAAGTACTATTAATTCGAGTACTATTCGAAGGCATCTGACACCAATATAGTTCAAAAGCTTTACTATAGTTGTATCTGCGATTACAATGTGTTATGGGATCTTACCCATAATAATATAATGGACTATTCCATACGTAATAAATACTGCGGCTCAAGAGGAAGCAGGGAGTTCAGTCCGAAGTCGGACGACCGGGCTCGGAGATCCCACGTTAAACCGGCCTTGTGCCACATGATGCCCTCGTGGGGGGGGGTGACTAAATACCGTTCAGTCTGAAGTTGGGCGACCGGCTGACCGGCTGATCGGTTGAACTATCTGCCTACCGGCGGGGAGGAACCCGAACGAGGCTACGCCGAAGGGCGGAGTCTCTTTCGTGGAGGTAAACCGACCCTGAACCCGTTTATACGGGTTCAAAGGGTATATTTTTGGCCTAGCCCACGGGCTCGGAGATCCCACGTTAAACCGGCCTTGTGCCACATGATGCTCTCGTGGGCGGGGGGGGACTAAATACTATTCAATCTAATGTCTGGAGTGAGGTCCGTCAGGAGTCTGTCAGTCAGTCAGCGCGAGCGAGTCAATCAGTCGACTCAGAGGCAGTCCGAAACAGAGTCGCGTTCAGACAATTACTACAAGACATTGAAATAGTGATACTGGTCGAGACTACATTGTTCTCCCTAGTAAACCTGATTGTTCGTACTAACACTTTCTACTTCTCTTTATATATTCCTGTTTGTAATATATCTGTGTTATTCCATACCTGTGTTCGAGTTCTTCTTTATTGGTTCTACTTTGGACTATCACCGTGGTACAAGGAACCGGACCATAACACGATGTCTCTACTACAACAAGCATTACGAAAATGACAACGAGTATTCGTTGACATTACAAAAGTAGCAATGTGTGTTCAGTGACATCCCAAAAGTGGCAACGAGGGTTTGCCGACATTACAAAACTTTCCAAATAAGAAACTATGATCCAGAATTGGAATGAACCTTTGGTACCTACCTTGAACACATCCCTAAAACTTTACTAGGTGGAATTAGTAAATACTAAATCCTTTAAATACCTCAGTATATGGATCACAAAACAAATTTAGTACGTGAAATTGAACATAAAATAGGCTGTGCTAGGCGTAGTTTCAACCCAAAGCACAGATTGTTGCAAGAACCAAATCATTCATGCAAAATCTCGATTCATTTCTTAAACAGCCTCGTCAAATCAAGACGTTCATATGGATGCATGGAGAGTTCAGAAATGTCTAAATTACTCACAGAGGAAATAATAGCATAATCAAGATATTGATGATTCATACTACTTCGAACAAAAGATTAAGAAGGAAAGCCCTACAACAGGAACTTGAGCTCGAGCAACCTATTTTCATGAAAAGATATTTTAATAAATTTCACCGAAAGGTTGCAGTGGCTGTTCGGAAAAAATTCAAATGTTTCCTTAGAAGGAAAAGAGTAAACGGATAATATTACCATTAATATTAAACACAGTAAAATGGTATGTTATATAAACTAAACAAAGCACACACACACACACACACACACACACACACACACACACACACATATATATATATATATATATATATATATATATATATATATATATATAATACAAAACGGACCTGCCTTTTCACAGGGTTACATTTATAATTCCAAGTCTTGATATTTTGGTGCCCTGCTGGATCCTGTAATTT